TGTTAAAACACACTTTCCCAAGCGGTCAGGGAGTCTTCGCATCTTCTTAACTATACATTAGGGTATATGACTATATGTAATCTTTTAAGAATTTTCTCTTGAAAATGGTTAAAAATGGAACGGCGAAGTATTTTTATCATTATCATTATTCATTTTTTATCGTGTTTTTGCATTGTATATATAGATATTGTACCTCTGAACAGTTTATATGATATATATATATATATATATATATATATATATATATATATATATATATATATATATATATATATATATATATATATATATATATATATATATATATATATATATAAATGAAAAATCCAATATATCTCATATATATATATATATGTTATAAATGTATCCCATGTACTATTATTTTGGGTTGGGTGAATAAACTGAACTTGCACTTGAACTTGGGCGATTATCATTGGGTATTAATGAGAATGAATTATCATTAATACAATTAATTCCACTAATTTTTTGGTTACCCAGATCACGGAATATTTACTGTTTTGAAACTATGATGAATTGACGTTCGAGTTTGTTTTTTTACTAACTGACCACATGATTCTACACACAGGGATTTTTTGGGAAAAATTTAAAGAAAATTCGATGCTGAAAGAATATATATTTCAAACATGCCACTACTCTAAATTTTGAAAGAACTTATAAATCGCAGGTTATCTAGCTTAATGCCGAGCAGCTAATATTGACTGCTGATAATAGCAGTATTGCTTCGGATGCTGCTTTTTCCTTCATTATCAGCAAAAGTGACCATTTAGGTGCTTAGGGAGTAGCTTTTTTCGTAACTTTAACAAGCATTTTGAGAGTATTGCATATGCAATGCTAGCACCCTACCGGCAAATGTTATCTGGTTCTCCTAAAAAATTGAAATGCCCGTAATTCCGTCAAAACTCTTGAAAGCGGAAATTCAAACTTGATCTGTAACTTAGTAAAGGTAGACTCACATACCAAACATCAGTTCAATATTTGCAAGCTGTAGAAAAAGGGCGGAAAATTCAAGTGCCATGGGAAGGACTTACAGAGGGACAGACAGGCAGACAGTTGAGGAAAGAACCGTACCGTTTTTACCAGTAGGGGACTAGTTTTTAGCTTAACGAATCTTGCACAGATGTTACATGGAAAGAAAAGATACAAGACATGCTTAGGATACTGCTTGAAATACATTTTCTGAATGAGTGAGAGCATCAGATCAGTTATTCCTCTCATCAGCTGGATTTATACGCGCAACTATTCAATAAAGGAGAGCAATAATTGATTTGATGCGCTTATCAATTGAATCGAAGATAGGCCTATCAATACAGTGGCGGAAAATTTACTCGCAAAGAATCAATTTAGAGATTGTCTTAAAAAAGATTTTTTCCGTTCTTTCATTAAAAGAAAGTATCGTTCATTCCATTATTAATAATAAAAAATGAATTGATGATGTCCTTGATTATTAAAAGATATCTTCAATTATCGACTCTGAGATTAATGTTAATTAGAGTTTATGTTAGACCGGCGCTGTACATGCTGTATACATGTATATGTCAACATGGGAACAGCTCTGATAACATACATTTTTGCCGTATATCCAATCTTTTCCTTTGATCTTGTGTACTGTCTTGTACATACATACACCATTTATACCAGTAAATAAAATAAAATAAACGGTGCAATTAAAAAATTAAACATGATCACTAGCTGTAGCGATTTTCCTGTGTGTTTATAACCTTGCAGTGAATTGAGGGTTGAATTAGCTGTACTGATTTGCACGTGTGTGTTCAATAAGTGTAAAAATGTAGTGAGTTTCATGTCGAATTTCAATATACTTAAAGTAAAAGATATCAAAAATTCCTATAGATACAGAGAAATCCTAAGGTTAACCTCGGTATATTCTGGTCTTACTTTCTCTTTTTCAAGCCTCTAAATCGGTGAAGCGAGATGAAGGTAAAATTTCAAATGTAGTCAGTTGGCTGGATTTACAAACAAGGGTGTGTGTGTGTGTGTAATTGTTTATTTGAGAATTATATTTAGACAGTTAAATTATATATATTATGACATATATGTGACCTTTTAGAGAGGGATCTGGCAGACTGACCTTGGAATCTGCTAGAATGACCATATAATTATACATGTACATATAATCTGTCCATAGGTGACTGACCTGTTACATTATTTAAAATTTTGTCCTGAAATGGGGAAGATCAAAGGGATAATTAAAATATATTCTAATAGAGACAAACAAGATGAAGAAAATTCCATGCACTGCGCAAGGATTATTTTTACCAATCTCAACAGTTCATAGAAAAAGTAATATTTTTCAAAACTGTGGTGTCAGTTTCATCTTTTAAACAATATATCCCTTTATTTTTTTTCATTTAGATAAAAAATAATTTTCAATTTTGATATGTGAAAGTTAAAAAAATTCATAAGATTCAAACTCTCTTCAAATCTATTGTTTAGGCATAATGTTTTAGATGTTAAATTTTACAAAATGCAGTCTTTCTATATTTATGTGCTTGTGTGGATTAAATAAGCGTTTGTTTTTACAAGTATATCGTTTTGTTTTTGTTTCTTTAAAGAATTTTTTGATGTTCTTGTATTGAATGGGTTCAAACTACGTACATTTCTTTTATTTTTGGAAACATAAAATAAATTTTAGATTAATAAAATAATTGAACCAAATGCGTTATTACAAATTATTAAGTGTATACAATGTACTTAAGTGTAGTTCCATGTAGCATTCATTTCAAATAATTATACATACACTTACCTTAAGGCGGGAGTCCCTCCCTTCTTTGAGCTCATTTTTCTTTTTTTGTGTTTGTCCTCTCCAAACACACAATATCTTTCACACCTAGCCAGAATGATGAAGGGTGTTCTATCATAAGGAACAATACAAGGGTCTCTTACATCATTAAATCGTACACGAGACTTCTCATCAATGACTGAAAAGACATAATATTTAAAAAAAAATATCTTTTGACATAGATCCTATTTACGAAGTACAGCTAAATTATTAATGCTTAATCATATGTGAAATTCTGCTTTAAATTGTAACTTATATAAATGCTTTAATATTCCATTCAACTTCGTAATTATATTCAACAATCTTAATTATAATAATTGAATGTAAATAAAAAAAAAATGACTGCATTTTTTTTTTTATAATTTCAAACAAATTAAGTTTTTAGATCTGTTACTGTGAAACTCAATGCAGTAAACTTAAACTTCAGAAGTTTAAGGGTACAAAAACCACTTTTATTTGTGTACCAGCTTAATTTTCAAACATTAAAATAAGTTGGGTTGGGGAGAGAGGGGGCTGACAGATAGATTGTATAATGTAACAATGATGCGTGGTATTAATTCTAGTTGGTCTGGTAATAAATATGTTAATCAGATTAGTCCAATGATCTTTTGATGCAGAATTTGTATGCAAAGGTCCGACCTAATTGATAGGTGGGTAGGGGGTATTCTAATGATCATCACAGTGGGATACAAGTAGATCTTTCTAGGTTTTATACATATGTATACACTGGGTGGGATCAAAATTAGGACAGTATAATTGCAGATCAAACGAAAAGAGGTTTTGTGTGTTTTCAGTACCTAATTAACAATATACCATTAATTATAATTAATATATTGAATTTTAAACAGTAATAAAGGATTTACAATTAATTGTTTTGATTTCATTTTGGGAAGCAATTATTTAATGATTATACAATACTGATTAGAATATAGAACTTCTGTATGATGTCTTCACACTTAAAGTATGTATTATATTATAGGTCATTCTAGCAGATTCCAAGGTCAGTCTGCCAGATCCCTCTCTAAAAGGTCACATATATGTCATTATACAATACTGATTACAATATACAACTTCTGTATGATGTCTCTGTCACCTATAGTATGTATTATATTATAGGTCATTCTAGCAGATTCCAAGGTCAGTCTGCCAGATCCCTCTCTAAAAGGTCACTTATATGTCATTATACAATACTGATTACAATATACAACTTCTGTATGATGTCTCCACACTTAAAGTATGTATTATATTATAGGTCATTCTAGCAGATTCCAAGGTCAGTCTGCCAGATCCCTCTCTAAAAGGTCACATGTATGTCATTATACAATACTGATTACAATATACAATTTCTGTATGATGTCTCTGTCACCTATAGTATGTATTATATTATAGGTCATTCTAGCAGATTCCAAGGTCAGTCTGCCAGATCCCTCTCTAAAAGGTCACATATATGTCATTATACAATACTGATTACAATATACAACTTCTGTATGATGTCTCTACACTTAAAGAATGTATTATATTTTAGGTCATTCTAGCAGATTCCAAGGTCAGTCTGCCAGATCTCACTCTAAAATGTCACTTATATGTCATTATACAATACTGATTACAATATACAACTTCTGTATGATGTCTCTGTCACCTATAGTATGTATTATATTATAGGTCATTCTAGCAGATTCCAAGGTCAGTCTGCCAGATCCCACTCTAAAATGTCACTTATATGTCATTATACAATACTGATTACAATATACAACTTCTGTATGATGTCTCTGTCACCTATAGTATGTATTATATTATAGGTCATTCTAGCAGATTCTGGGGTACTTTTCAAAGTTATTATTTAATATTTTCTTTTAAATTAATTTTTAATATGAGTTTCTTGATATGTGAATGCATTAATCAGGGTGATCATCCAGTTCCAAGGAAACGTAAACAGTTACTTCAAGCTTCTAAAAAAAAAAAGGTTGCAAGGCAAGGATTGTCATGAAAGATGCTGTCTTCTTCCCTGATTATAAGGTAAAAACTTGTAAATATGTATGTCCATTTCATTTTTAAAAAATTAAAAATCATTTAAAAATATAGTAATGGATGAATTCAATTCAAAAATATGCATTTTTATGTGTAAGAGATAAATCATATTGGTATTTTTAATAGGTTAAGAAAAACACAGAAAAAATGAAAAAATGCAAGGGAACTATTGAGGGATGACCTTTCAGATGTACCGGATAATGTCAAAAGAGAGAGGCGGATTTACATCCTGCTTCCAAAGAGTGAGGATCATGAATCAACACATCTTACTGGACAAGTAAATAACAAATATTGTATTCAGTAAAAGAAAGTCATATAAAGGTCTAGGAAACATAATTGATATCTCCTAAAAAATATATTAACATTTTATAAATATCAAGTTAATATCAAGTTAATTAACTTTAAAACTTTATACAAACGTTACTTTAGGTTTGATATGGATTTTTGCTTGCCGGTCCGATACGTGATATGGGTTTTCGGACCGGTCCTTGAGATAGGGTATTGTGACATCACCTGTATCGCACAGTTCAGAATCGGTGTATATAATACTAAGTATATCAATAAACAAGTAACAATATCATGGCAACTTGGAAGATCAGTTGATTGGCTTAGACTAACAGAAATATGATCATATGAAGTCACACCTATACCATTTGTCCAAGGAAGATCAGGATTAAAAGAACCAAGTTGTTAATAAATGTGTCCTTTTATAGAACTGATATGTAATACAATTTTCAGCTTGCTGGCTTCATGAATCCTCTATCCAAGGAAGTTCGAGATAAACTAGGGAAACTTGTTGGACATGGGGTAACAAGTGTCTCAGAGATGCAAAGACATTTGCATGTGTTTGTTGAAACCATGTTGTTTAAAGACACAAAGCGTCCTGCATTGACTGATGCTGCTTACTATCCAACAGACGAAACAATCAGAGCACATATATACCTTGCCCAGCTACGGTTGAGGTACAAAGACAAGGACTTGTTAAAAAGTTTAATTTCATCAAAGTCTAATTTCTACTCTGTCAAAGTATATAACAAATTAATTATGACGAAAAACATTTGACCATGCACAAGGCAAAGAAAGTGATCATATTCAATAATATTTTTTAATGTAGATATTCAAGGAATATAAGGTAGCAGAGTGGCAAGACAGTTATCCAAGGGATAATTTCATCTTTATGCCTGCCTCTGACTCTACACCAAGTGACAGAGATATTTTGCAGGATGTAGAGTGTGTGGAGCAGGATGATGATGATGAGGTCTATCCTCAAATACAGACAGCAGAGACAACAGAATTTTTCTTCTGTCACCAAAGTGAATTTCAACGTCATCTTTTGTACAGGTTTGATAATTTTGTTTGTTTGTAAGAATATTGACAGATATTTTGAAGACTCATATAAATATTATGATTCATTTTTTCTTCAGATATTGAGAAGAAAATATATAAAATTTTAATTTCTTTAATATACTGATTAACTGTATTGAAAATTCATAAAAGATGAGTGTTTGTATTTGGTTTGCTTTGTACCAGGTATTTCTTTTCTTTTTTTATGGCCCCGTAATCAAAGATTTGGGGGCAAAATTTTTGATTACTTTTTTTTGTTGTTGATTTATTTTTAAGAAAGATATTTTTGCTAATGCAATGCACTCACAAATTTGTTTAAATTTGACCTTGACGTTTGACTTTAAAAAAAATAATTAACCCTTTCCATAACTTTTTTAACAGTTGTTAATAGGGCTTTATTATTTCACACTTGTATTCCCTGTGACAAGACCTTTCTTTGGGTAACATTTCTATCTCTTGATCTTGACCTTAGAGTTTGACTTGCATTTGAGAATCTTTAACCTTCACCTTAAGCTGCCATACGGGAGCATCAGTGTTTCAGAAACACATTTTGTTCTGTGTTTTTTTTTATCCCTATTTCATAATGCAATTTGTTACAGGTATGGAAACTCCCTTTGCTTTCTTGACACAACATACAGAACAACAAAATATGCATTGCCTCTGTTTTTTCTTGCTGTGAAGACTAATGTTGGATACAGTGTAGCTGCAGAATTCATTGTGCAGCATTAAACAAAGAAATCCATAATGCAGGGTCTACAAACCATTAAAACTCGGCTCCTTAATGCACCGGACAGGCCAGCTGAATGGTCCTGGGAGCCTAAGTTTTTTATGACAGATTTTTGCGAAAGAGAAATTGTTGCCATTGAGGAAGTTTTCCCTGGTATAATGATTATTTTTTATTTTTCAGTTATTTTATAACAAAATTTCAATTTATTTAGAGATAATAATTATCTCTTGGTAAATATGGCATTAGATTTTCTTACAACAGTAAAACTTCTAACTGTTAAGAAAGAAATCTGACAGAAAAATTATTTTAAGTAATTAATGTACATAATGTTAATACATGTACCCCCGGTACTACTAACTGCTATATCCATATTTTTTTCTTTCAGAAAGCTTTGTTTTTATCTGTGTGTTATCTGCAAAGTTGGACCAGATGGGTCAGTAAGACTGACAATGGTCTTGCTGACTGCAAAGACCATGTGCTGGGAATGCTGAGGAGATGTGCTCATGCATCATCAGAGAAAGAATACACAGAAGCCATCACAAAATTGCAAAATTCAGATATCTGGGCCAGAAACAGTCGTCTTAGAAACTGGTTTACAAAAACATGGTTGACAGAAAAAAAGGTTTTTTAATTGATATATTTAAATTTCATGAAAAAGAAATTCTGATCCCTATTGCTTGTTTTCCTGATTGAACAACTTAACCATTTAAGAAAGAAGGATGCACAGCAAGGTTAAGGATGCCCAAAGTCTTTGTCAAATTGTGATGTCATTTGCATCAGATGCAAATTGTGACTTGTAATTTTTCTTTAAAAAATGTAAAAACTATGTATTTGGCAATATTTATCTTTGGCTTCTTTTTACCTATATAGCACTGGGTTTGGTCACAGAGATATGGATCTGGACTCTTGGTGAACACGAATAACGGTCTGGAGAGACAGAATAAAGTATTCAAGTACCAGTTTTTAGAACAACGAAAAAACAACAATGTTTCAGGAATGATATCAAGCCTCGTGCATCAGTATTTACCAACAATGATGCTCAAGTAGGTTGAAGTTTCAGCTGTAAATGAACATTTTTTAAATTTTTGAATTTGTTAATTGCATGTGCATGATTTGGCTTGTTTTGTTAACTCAGTAAAAAGAAGTTACAGCCTTTGAAATTCCACATTATTTCAGAAATTTTTGTCTTTCTGTTCGTCTGTCTATCTGTCTGTCTGCCCATAACTCTTGAGTGGGTGGGGCTATGGATTTCATATTTCACAGATGTATTCCTTGTGAAAAGACCTTTCTTTGGGACCTCTTGACCTTGACCTTGGAGTTTGACCTACTTTTACAAAAAAATACCACACTTTTGAACAGTTGGAGCTAGGGCTTTCATACTTCACGTGTATTCATTGTGACAAGACCTTTCAGCTGATATAAATATTTTTGACCTTGACCTTGGAGTTTACCCACTTTTTAAAAACTTAACCTTGGCCATAACTTTTGAACAGTTAGAATATTTCACAGGTATATTCCTTGTAAGGAGACCTTCCTTTGGGTACCAACACTTTTGACCTTGACCTTTGGAGTTTGACATGCATTTGAGAAAATTCAACCCTCGCCCTAAGCTGCCATACGGGGGCATCAATGTTTCACAAACACATCTTGTTTTTTGTTTTGTTTTGTTTTGTTTTGTTTTTTCTTTTTTTTTTTTGGGGGGGGGGGGGATTTGTTTCAGGCTGTTGCTAATAGTAATTTAACAATCTTCTTATTTTTTATAATACATGTACATGTATAATGCTATAGTCTAATTAAAAAATACCTCTTGAATTAATTTTGATTCAATAATGTTTAAATCTGCTTCAGCCATATTGATTTAATGTAGAGAAAGTAATTTTTTCAGATATTTGCACTAAGATGTTGGAGCTTAATTTTACATTGCTAACTTGAAATGTCTTGTTTTTAATGAAAAAGTGTTATTCTATTTAGGTATATAAGGGATAATGCCACGGCAACAGATGGGTTTGGACGATCGTACATAACTGATGTACCAGAGTTTTTGAAGAACAGACCTCCACGCCTCATAAAACACTGCATGTCAAAAATGGAACTAGCCGACACAATCAATGAAACTGAAGTTATATCTCTGGGCAACAGAACATACAAGGTAACTTCAGTGAACTTAAATTCATAGAAATGTACGAGGGGTTATCAAAAAGTTCGTGGACTAGCGCCATAAAATTAAAACCGCTTTAGGTACATCAATGAATTTTAATACATTTAGTTAGCATCATCTTTTCTATCGATAGAATAAACCATAAATCATAAGTTTAATTTTTTAATAAATTGTTATTGTTTTTGTAAGCAATGGTATGTCCAAGCGGCGCAACCTCAAATATGACGTTTTTTCTACCTGAGTGTAACTGAGAAAAACTCTTTTGATATGAGCATTTGTCGTCAAAAACTCCGGTTAACCCAGGCATGTGGTACAACACAATTGTTCCGTAAAATTTGCAATTTTTACCCCATTCTGTAAATTCTATGAAATTTTATCGTAAATTTATATGGAGTGTACAAACAATTAAGGGTTCAAAAATGACGTCAAAAAGGAGGAGGGGTTACTGTTTCCAACATTCTTTAAAGTTTCGCACCTGGAAAAACTGGTATAGACCTAGGGAATGTTTAAACGGGCTACAGAAAAAATAAAACACATCCAGAGTACTCGTTTTAAATAGCCAAAAAGATTCAGAGAGATGAAAGATGCACAGTTAAAGTCAATGTAGTGAGGGTGTCAAAAATCAGTCACGTCGAAAAGTGACGTTGATCATGTGTGGTAGAAATTGAACTCCATCAAGCTAAGTATTCTGGTATAATCAAGTGAGGATCTTTCCTTATGTATAGATACATTTACAATATTATATGCATTGAAAGCAGCTGTTCATGACATTGTAAAGTCACATAAACAAGACGGACTTAAGTCCTTACTTAACTCCAGGTAATCACATCAAGATAAGTGTATAAGGTAGACGGAGTGGACATTGAGAAACAATGACGTTGTCGGACGTCATGAAACTAAACGGCGACAGCGCCGGGTGATCATATAATTTCTTTTTTATTTTAGAATAATTTGGCAAATTATCAACGTATCGAGCTAAAAAATTCAACATTTCTTAAACATTTGTTGATTTATGTTCTTCGTAAATTTTGTAAGCACAGACTACATAGTATTAATTTTATCGCATCAGTCCACGAACTTTTTGATAACCCCTCGTACATCGCAATTTGAACTAAGACATTCAAACATGCTGTTTATTACTAATATTAGTAGCAGAAACCATAAGCCATGTGAGGTTACAACCATTATGCTAGCAAAATAGATTTTATTGCTGAATTAAAATTAATATCCTTTAATTTAACATGTATAGCACATTCATATTTGTGTGACTATTTACCTGAAAGATTTCTTACCTCATATAACCCGTATGTGTACAGTTCCATGCAAAACTTTTAAATAGCAGGTTATAACATAAATATTGAAGTAATTAAAAAAAAAAATGTACTTCCCTGTTTAATAAAATAATTTATATATGAAAGGTGAAAAGTAACTTCTTCGTTATTGTATAATGACATATAAGAGATCTTATATCAGGGGATCTGGCAGACTGACCTTGGAATCTGCTAGACTGACCTATATTATATTACATACTATAGGTGACAGAAACATTATATCATACATGCCAACTTTCCCGATTTAGGCGGGATCCTCCCGATTTTACCCTTTGATCCCGCTCTCCCGATCGGGAGAGCAAAATTGCCCTAAAATCCCGATTTGAAAGAAATTCACCCTAAAATTTCCGATTTTCAGAGTTTCCCTACCGCAATATTTTGTCAATCGGGATTAGAATATCAGACTTGTTTATTCAATGCACACAGATTAGTCCTTTGTTTATTTAACTCAGACAGAGGTGTTAATTAGCCACAGGAAATCACTTCTCGCTTGAACGCACACAGCTGTCCAGGTACAGGTAACATATAGCCTGGAGCAGTTAGGGGATTAAACTTTTCAGTCAGAAGGGGTATGCATAGTGAAACACATAGATTTAGGGGTTAATTAAATATCATTTTATTAAAAACAAAAATTAAATACAGTGATATGATAAACTATCAACAAAATCGGAATTAACACTGATTAATCCTTGTTGATCGTTACTTAAAAACGAAAGTAGAAAACAACAAAGCATTGCTGCTGATTTTATCTGCTTGTAATAAAAATATTGTAAATTTTACCGGTTAAAATGAGATAAAAATAATTTAGATGAAACAAAAAAGTCTTATACCTCAAGTACACTGAATCCCCCCCCCCCCCATGTAATATGACAAGGGAATACCCACACGACACTGCCAGGATTAATATGAAAAAGTTCATCATGATTATAACAATTTTAATTTTTGTTTTGGATAGGGGGTATCCTTGTTATAAATAATTGATGATCTCAAGAGTAAATTCATTTCTTCAAATTGTTTTGTGTGTGTGATAAAATTAATCACCATGATGTCTACTTATTAATAGGGAATAAAATGACACTTCTATTTAAAGTACATACCACAAACAAATTTTCCTATCTCTCTCTCTCTCTCTCTCTCTCTCACTCACACACTCACTCACACACACAATGCATTGCAATTTTTCAATATTTCTTTCAATTTAATGTCTAATAAGGAAATTCTAATTGTGTAAAATGTAAATATAGAATTTAACAAATGTTTCCCAGAAACTGTACAGTAACAAAACCTTATATATATATTTCTAAAACTTTGCAAAAAAATTTATTTGAACTAAAAGTTGTACATTTTCACCAAATTATGTGTCTTTTTCAAACATAATGTTGTTAAACTAAAAAGATATTTGAATTTTGGAAGGAAAAAAATTTGTTTGTATTATTTATTCTTAAATTGTATAAACAAGTGATATTGATATTATAAATTAAAAAAAAAATGGGATAAACATTTATTTTCACGACAAAATGTCGCGAATTTAAAGCTTTGAAAATTGTCGTCACGCGCAAAATCCCCCATGGGAATTTTCAAAAGTTGGCATGTATGTTATATAGAAGGTGTACACTTCCTCGTTATTGTATAATGACATATTTGCGATGTTAATTCAGGGGATTTGGCAGACTGACCTTGGGATCTGCTAGACTGACCTATATAATATTACATACTATAGGTGACAGAGACATTATGTACACTTCCTCGTTATTGTATAATGACAGAGATCTTATATCAGGGGATCTGGCAGACTTACCTTGGGATCTGCTAGACTGACCTATATTATATTACATACTATAGGTGACAGAGACATTATCTACACTTCTTTTATTGTATAATGACATATAAGAGATCTTATAACAGGGGAACTGGCAGACTGACCTTGGGATCTGCTAGACTGACCTATATTATATTACATACTATAGGTGAAAGAGACATTATGTACACTTCCTCGTTATTGTATAATGACATATAAGAGATCTTATATCATGGGATCTGGCAGACTGACCTTGGAATCTGCTAGACTGACCTAAATTATATTACATACTATAGGTGACAGAGACATTATATAGAAGGTGTACTCTTCTTCGTTATTGTATAATGGCATATTTCAGATGTTAATTCAGGGATTTGGCAGACTGACCTTGGGATCTGCTAGACTGACCTATATTATATTACATACTATAGGTGACAGAGACATTATATAGAAGGTGTACTCTTCCTCGTTATTGTATAATGACATATATGAGACCTTAATTCAGGGGATCTGGCAGACTTACCTTGGGATCTGCTAGACTGACCTATAAAATATTACATACTATAGGTGACAGAGACATTACGTACACTTCTTCATTATTGTATAATGACATATAAGAGATCTTATTTCTTAAGATCTGGCAGACTGACCTTGGGATCTGCTAGACTGACCTACATATATTGTTTCATACTATAGGTGAAAGAGACATTATGTACACTTCCTTGTTATTGTATAATGACATATATGAGACCTCATTTCATTTCAGTGAATCTGCTAGACTGACCTTGAGATCTGCTTGACTGACCTATATAATTTTACATTATATAATATATATATATAATATTATAGTACATACTATAGGTGACAGATACATTGTTACTAAATTGGTATCTGCACAGTTAAAAGGTGTATATTGTAAGATTTAATCAGGTTTCTGACATGCAGAATGTTCTTGTAGGGACAATAATGCTTTCACTATATAATACATGTTCACGTGTACATGACCCAGGTGAACAGAAGGATTTATTTTTTTTCTATTTGGACTTAAAATTGTAAACTTCCAAGTTGATAAAATTAGTTTTTAAAATATATTTGTCATGCACTTGACTTTCACTCAGAAATACTGTCCTCCACCAAAATTTAGAATTTTTCAATTCAAATTTGTATACATGTATGACAATTTGTCTTTTAAAACTTGAAAAATTCTAAATCAATTGATTAATAAACAAAAGGTTCATTAAAAGGCTTGTACGTTGTAAACCACCTTCTGACTTTATTGATCCAGTATTGCGAAATATCATACCTTTAAAGACCTCAAACACCACATCCCCAATAAAATAATATTTGAAGAATTCTCATCCTTTACTTTTGATTTGTCAAAAAAAGGACTGTAAGTTGTAACCCCCCCCCCCTTTTAACATTTCCGGACTTTATTTATTACCAGGTTGCACCCTAATTAGATTGAGAAATTTCAAATTATTTCAACTTTTTATGCTTATTTTAATTTTGCTTCCCTCACAGTATTTGGCTTGGACTTAATACTCTTGTATCATATCGTACGACATATTGAAGGAAAAAAAATATTGCTTTTTTGTCGATATACAATATTAACCTGCCATCCAGTACAATTTCATCGTATTGGCTGGAAAAAGAACAGTTATTGTATATAAGTATATAATTAAAATATTAGACACATTAAATTAAAATTTACATCTTTTTGAAATGTGCATAACTAACTATACTCATATATGTATATGAGTATATTGCGTGTGCAAGGATAAGAACAGCGCATATCTATTAATGCAGTGATTAAAACTAAAAGGAGCTTGTAATTTTTAAAGAAAAAATCTCGTTGCACAAAACAGCAAGTAATTAAATGAATCCATAAGTTTTACTCTGTTAGGACTGTCATTGTTTGGTTCGTTTGTAACGAAAATAATAAGGTCAAATTAGTCGGAATGACTCGGAAAATACATGCATATTTATGAGCTATGACGCGGTCGGTCTGCCGGATTACTTCTAACGCCTACCCGTGAATATATAGACACAACCACTTTGACATTCCGCAGCAACTATGGCGTGCTCTGTGTTGAACAATGTCATAAATGTGTTTGGCAAAGACTCTTCTGCGTATTTTGCAATGATTGGATTTGTTACAGCTTCATATATAGCTTTTAAAGTAGCTTTTAATGTAATCAAAATCTTAAAATACTTTGTTTTTGCTGGATCTACAAACTTCAAGAAACTAGGATCATGGGCAGGTAACGATACTTGTATCAACGTATTCTGCTTTATTCATTGACTCAATTTTCATAAATTTACTCATTTCTTTAAGCTTTTCAGAACTAAACAGGACAACTTACACGTAAGAACATTTTTTGCATCTATATTAAATACTTTAAATTCTATTTGATATCACCTTTCAGCTTTGTCAAGGCGTATCATAAAGTGTTGTTTTTCCAAATGTAGCTAGGCGTTACATTCAAGGTCTAAATGCAAAGACTGTAACGAAAGAGTGACCATGTGACTACACTCGGTAATCAACACTATATAAACCCCAGAGATATAACCGCATCTTTCCTCCTGAGCGAGCATTACATAATGTTAAGTCAGGCCTATCATGTATACATGCAGTCAACAGATTTATTTTGTGCGTTCTTTTTTATTTCAGTATGGTAGATTATCAGTTTAAATCAAAAGTATACTTTTTGTTGCCATTTTGATTACACATATTTAGGTTGTAACAAACATTATGCCTGATTAAGGTCTTGTTTTGTCACTATAGTTGATAATATTGAAGATAATTTTTACAGTGAAAGACTAGATTAGAGAGAAATAGAGTTAAAATTATCTAAGGCGAGTGTGAAGCCGTCTACAAATGGTATGTAACAAAAAATACAATTGAAATCAATCCCTGTCTTTAATTGATTCATTGAAATTGACTCTGAATGTTGACTTGATTCTCAAGGATATATATATATTTTTTCACTGACGAATATAGGTCATTGTTAGGCAGTATTGATGTTATGGAAAGAGGTTTCAGTGAAAATGCTTTATAATAATTATGATACATGTAAAAAGATATTAGGGATGCCATGAATAAACAAAAATGATCTTGTTAACTAAGAATTTAAGGAAAAATACATAATTCTCCTAAGGTTTGAGTCGTATTGTTTCATTGACAGAACATCTTGCAAATAACAAAGACTACGTATACACATTCAAAAAACTAAATCAATGTTGTCGGACTCCATTTGTCTGTTAGATATGAATTTTACAATTTATCGATCAAAACTCTGGAATGAAAAAAAAAAGTAGCCAAACCAAAAAATATATGGAGGAGTGTAGTTAAATTCAGTGTACTGAATAATTGTTTGAAGACAATTTCATTATCAAATTAAACTAAAAAAAATATGGTTGATGAGACCAAACATTCAGTGAGTTTTCTTATGGTTCAAGATCTTTTAATAGTAAGAAAAGATCATAAACTTTAACTTCCTGAGTCGCTATTAGGCAAAGTTAAGAACAGCAGTTTACCAATAAGCAATAAAGGTCTAGTGGGGGAAGTTAGTTATATAGAAAACGGTGCTATTCCAATCGATACAGGGGCCTGAAGAAAGGTTACCAGAACCAGTGAATAAAGTGAGAACAGCTGACATTGTATATTGGAAACACTTAACTGGTGTAAACATATTTGAAAATATTAAATTAAAAAATACAAGATTGCTTTTTTTTTTGAGAGAGAGAGAGAAAGAGAGAGAAACCTAAGCATTATTTTTTTAAATTAATCATAAAGAGCAGAATTTGTTTTCTGAGAGTTAACATGAACTTGTCCAAAAGAAAGTAGATGTATACAAGTGAAAATGGCAAAATCTTAAGGTATGTCACTCGTGAAATTTGTTATATCAAGGATTTTTTGAGAAGTATATTTTGGATAAGTACTCATATAGTATGACTCAAAATCGCAGAGAAAATGGGGGGTTAGTGTGCATCTAACTGAGCTACGGTACAATTAAGTTGACCTTTTTGCACTTAAATTGTAACTCTTTGGTTAATCACTTTAACCGTTATCATATTTTATAAGATGTAACCATGGCAATAAACATAATCTTATTTTACGTAAAATAGTTTGAATAATATTTATCATTGAACAAATCATGCAAGTTAATGCGCGTTAATTATTTGTGACCTTTTTGCACTAAAAAAGTCTCATATTTGGGGTATTAAAAATCTAAATAGGCAATAGAATATTTTCTTGTATCAAACTTTTTACGACTTAAGTGCTGATCAGTCAAAAGTATCGAGTAGTTTAAAATAATGAAGGAAAAAGTTGGGGTCAGTGATGTAAATTTTGAAATATTGGTCAAAATATGCAATTTTCAGGCAAAAAACTGTGTAAATTTTATCTCAACTTCCTTAACATATCTTCATTTCTTGACAATGTTTGTTGAGCGACGGTGTAAATTTTGTTATAATAATATAAATTGAGACCTATATTTAATATTCCAGGCATATCATAACGGAAAATATTCTCTGAGTAAAAGTATGTGAGGCTAAAGTTCCAAGATATTAAATTTAATAAATGTGTAGATTTGCAGAATTTTCTGCTAAATATCCTTCCACCACAAGAAATAGTCCCTTATAAATCTTGCTTCTTTGTGAATTTTTGAGCAGTTTTTTAATTGAATGTTGAACATTTTACATTGTTTAATTTAAATATGTTATAAAGATTGAATTGTAATAAATAGTTTTTAAGTAAGAGGTTCTGACTGAAATTTTCTAAAAGGCTGACGAGTGACATACCTTAAATCCTTCAAATTATGTATTTTTAGTTCCAACTAAATATTGAACTTGACAACTGATTAAATATTAGAAAAATCACTTTAGTAATTTTAATCGAATGTTTCAACACCTAGACTATTAACAAAAATATTAAGGCCTATCTTTGTTGCTTTTTGGGTAGTTAACAGTGTTATTACCCCCGTAGACAGCGAAAAGAATACTGGAATGACAAACCAGACATGCTTTTCAGTATGGTTATAACGAAAATGTGGATATTGTGGGGAATCTTTAGTCCGCTATATATCAATGTAAATGTGATGGAACCTTTTAATAATGCACAGAGATGTGAGCATAGCTCTGGACATCGTTCGATCAATAAATCAAATATACATTTCTTATTTGATTCACTTATACTGGATTCCTAAACTTCATAAAAATCTTTACAAATAAAGATACATTGCCGGATCCAGTAAATGCGTTACCAAGCCCCTTTCTTTACTCCTTACAAAATATTAACCGCTGTAAAGGAGAAACTTTAGACGTATTGTCCAAGAGCATATTCTAGAAGTGGTGTAAATCAGATTCTAAAAAAACTTTTAGAAAATATAAAATCACCAAATTCTTCTAGAGTCAATAATATCAAAACGTAGGACTTTTCTGCACTTTATACTACCAATCCTCATGATCAATTCAAAGCTCGGCTTTTTGATGTGATAGACAACCTCTTCAATAATAATGGAACTCGGAAATTTTCTTATCTTATGATAGGTCATCAACAAAATTACTTTGTTAAAAATCACTCTGATTCTACACAAGAGTACTCTAAAGTTGATATTAAAAGGATGCTGGAGTTCCTCATTGACAACATTTATGTAGTTTTGGAGATCAGGTCTTCTAGTTGCAACAAACTGTTGTAATTTCGATTGGCACTAACTGTGCACCTTTATTTGGCACTTACTGTGCTCCTTTATTTGCCAACTTGTTTTTATGAAGCAGATTTTTTTAACTTCTACATGAGAAGAAGAGATCACTTGCTGTGGCCTTCAACTCGACATTCAGATACATCGACGACGTTTATCGATAAACAATAGTTACTTCCATTCATATGTCAACTCGATATATCCCAGTTTACTTGAAATAAAAGACACAATAGAGTCTTCCATACCTATTACATATGTTTTACTGACTATAGACGATAAAGGCAAACTAACAACTAACCTCTATGACAAACGAGATGACTTCAGACTATCCATTGACAACCTTATATTATTTGTGTACTCATATTCCTCTGTCACCTCCCAACTTATTTGATACTCAAAAGCATGCTCTGGGTAAGACAATTTTTAAACCGAGGCAAGCTACTGACATTTTATCTCACACAATATTTTTTTAAAAAATGGCACCGTAAAATAAAGTGTATGTAGCATCATTTTAATTTTTAATTTAACATTTTTTTTTCAATGCTTTTAAGCTGATTACTCTTGCTGTTTTTCCATCTTAAAGACCTTCCTCTTCTGTTTATTTTCGTTTTCTCTAATTTTCTGGTTCCTCATTCATTCTTCTCTTATTTCGTCTAGGTGCCGATTAGGTAAGGCATTGAACCATACTTTACAGAGTAACATGAGTCTTCATGAATTTCCTAAAGTCACTTAGTGTAAACCAGAGTCAGAAAAATGCAAACTGATAACAAATTACAAAATCTGACAGGACGGAAATTCAATTGCTTGTATTTAAAACAAATTCAAAATGTTAGACAGTAGGACGGATTGTGAGATGATTTTTGACGGACCCTGTTAAAATTTGTCTTAAAGGAACATACGGTCTAAATTGCGGCAAGAATAGATGGACAGATTCTATATATGATATGAAGACTATAGTAAATGAGCTCTAGAAGACCATGATAGATTTTGAATTGAAATGAGGAAATATTGTCGATAATTAAGCTGCGTTGAATGTTTCCCTTTTACAGAACTGTTTAATTCTCTTTTCTTTTCAGTTGTCACAGGTTCAACAGATGGTATTGGAAAAGCTTATGCAAAAGAGGTATGTACTTCTTTTAATTATAAGTCATATCATTTGACATCTTTTTCTAAATACCACCAAAGAATTTATTTTTACTTCAATCTACTGGAAAAGACCAAGAAATTCTATGGATTGTTTAGTTTCATTCTATCCTTATGTGTTTAAACATTTCTTTCAACATGCTTCCTTTCCTGCAGTCTCTAAAATGTAACTATTTGTAACTAGTATTTAGGACTAGGTCACACTCAAGTACAATTGACTTCGACGAGATACAAATAAGTAATCTGAGCACTACTTTTTGATTTTAATGAAGTGGAGACACTTTTACGCAAAGCAAAATATGACGTATTATTTCAATATTTTGCCTCTTCAAGAATATATGTCTATTAAAATAAAATCTGCTCTGTTTTATATTTAAATCAAGATATTTTTTTTTTAATTTTACTACAATCAACCGTATTTTAGTAGCTGTCAAATGAAAATGAAGAAGAACTAAAACATTTGAAAACACTTAATTTGCTTTAATAAATAAAAGCAAAATCGAAGAATTTTAAGAGAAATACTTCAAGTCCAAGTGCAACTTTCTCAAGAATGTTTAAATTCAAACCAGAGTCCTGTAGAGCTTAAATTTCATTTCAGAATTCTGGTTATATTTTGGAATGAATCAACTTGCATGTATTTTTTGATATAGTTATCGGATCGCTACTTTCAACCTTTCACAATATTAGAAAGAATTATATACAATTTTGGATGAGTATACAGCGTGCTATAAAACGAAGAGAATAATAAGTATCGTGATTTCCTCGCGGGTATCTAACTTACTGCCGCTCTTTTGCGAAAAAAATCAAATAAGTTCTAAATCTGGCGTCATTTTTGGGGCATAACGTAATGTTTAAGCTAGTAACGATGAATGATTTAAACAATGAGTATGCCGAAAGTATAATGTATTGCCAATGGTTGCACTTCAGAAAGTAAGTCATCTCATGCGGAATGTTTAGACTTCCAAAAGTAACGTTTATCAGAAAGAAATAGTTGAATTTATGATGAGAAGAGTCGGGTAAGCGAAAATTTCTACAAAAATGTGCAACAAGAGAACTAGCATCTAAATTTTATCAGCGTGATGCACCGAAAATTTAGCAAGATATTTCACCACGACCTCTTTCTAATATGTCCTTGAAAAAGGTATACGTACAGTGTTTGATCTCATAGTGTATTCAACAGCACATTGCCCCCAGTTAATTGACGTCTCCTACCTCAATCGCGAAAGAGTACCGTTAAGTTAATTATTCGCGATATCAAGTATTATCAAAAGCGTTTTAAAATAGTGTATATGAACGTTTGGTAACAATAATTGGGAAAGGAAACAGTTTATACACTGTATTAAAGTACATGTAATGTTAATCATTCCTATTTCTAGCTAGCTGAAAGGGGAGTAAATATTGTTTTAATAAGTCGCTCAGAAGCAAAACTTCAGGAGGTTGCCAATGAAATAGGTAATGAAGATTTGTGAATCAAAATGAATAATTCATCATGACATGTTCATCAGCGATGGCATGTAACATATACAGTACACAGTATTTTGTGCTTTGCTTTCCAGAAAAAGAGAGCAAAGTTCAAACTAGAATTATTGTGGCTGACTTCAGTAAAGGTCTGGAGTTGTATGATTCCATTAGGGAGCAGTTAGCCGGCTTGGAGATTGGAACACTGGGTAAAAGGACTATCATCCTTATTTTACAGTCTTTTCTGTCATACTTCTTCAAAGGGTAATCTTAATTTATCCTTTAAAACAGATCTATTTTCTTGGAAAGTAAAGATAGAACAAAGAGTATTAATTTTTTTAAGAGTATAACAGGGACATTAAAAACAAAATAAACACATTTTTGCAATGAGATCGAGTCTTTCTGTATACAGATCAAACTTGGGTCATATTGTGTGTCTTGTCAGTCTTATGCATTTGGAACAAAGCTAATGATGTTTGGATTGACTTTTATCGAAATTGAGAATTCAACATTGACACTTCATGAATCTCACACTGATCAAAGCTAAATGCTTGAAATCTTATTGTGTGATATTGTTCATCATAATTCAATGTTTTTTAAAGTAGATATTTAGTTTCAAAATATTTTATTACTTTGATTGACTTTTCCACGATTATTTTCTAGGAATTGTTGCACTTATATGCAATGATTTATATGCAATGATTTGGCACTTGTAATATAGCCCAAATTTGGCTATAACATGAAGCTCTTGCTCTTTTATATGAACATTTCTTTATCCATTTCATAGCACGAGACTGATTATATTGATATGAAATTGAATATCACACTTATGTATCTTGAAATTTTGCTCAACTTACTTTCAAGTAAAAAGATTACTAGTATACCGGCCTAGGTTGATGGAAAATCTTGTTTGTTAATATAATAGTTAACTTTCTTTAAAATCATAAATGGAGTACAACATGTTAAATGTAGTATTCATTCATCTTAATCTTTTTAAATTGCAGTTAACAACGTAGGGATGAATTACCCATTCCATAACTACTTTTTGGATGTAGCTGATAGAGAAGAGGTAAGGGAAAACAAAAATATTTTTTCTATGTTTGAAATTATAAAATGAAAATCTCAGGTTGTTTGTTGTTTTTTAAGCTGCAGTTTGACAGCAGTTGTTTCAAATTAGGGTTCCACTTTAATGGGCTCCATATGGTGATCAAACGTTCCGCACATTCTGTCGTTATGCATTTCATGTGAAATTCTAAGATTAAACTAAGTCCATATGTATAACCTTGTCTTTAGAGCATATTTTTTTCTTCCTCTGACCCAGGTTTGCTCTTATGTCCACAAAGTATGCTCATGATAAAAGGATGTACATCTACTTTGATGCAATTTCCCAAATAAAACGTCAAGGTCAAAATAATTATCTGTGCAAATCTTATCTGGAGCATTTTTCCTTGTCTGGAGTTGTCTTTTGACAAGTTTGACACACCATAGAAACAAGGGTCTGCAGTGTTTTAACAAGTCAAAGGCAAAGGTTTTGTTAATTTCAAGAAGGGGTGATTAATTTTAGCCTCATTAACTCAATAAGATTAAAATTAAAATTTGGGAAAAAATCTTTCTTTTTTTTACTTCTTAAAAAAATACAAGTAGCAAAATTTTCTTCCTACTCCAAGACAAAACGATTAATAAACACAAAATGTTCTACAGAAATTACATGTCTACTTTACCCTTTTGCCCTTCAAATTTAATTTGAAATGGTCTCTATCTAAATTATACCTGGTTTTGCTTGTCAATGTTTCCAGTGATGTTCAACATTATTAATATTACGAAATTTAAGTTCTTATGTATATTTCTTTTCAGTATTTCATGAAAATGATCAACGTAAATGTAACAGCTGTTACCATGGTAAGTTATATTGTCTCTAACAACACATTTACGATCTCATAAAACATATCTAAATGCTTAATCCTCTACCTTTTTAATACTTATGAAAGTTTTTTCCGGTTACTTATTGCAGATGACCAGCATTGTGATGCCTGCAATGGTGGAGAGAAAGAAAGGCGCAGTTATCAACATCTCCTCCGCTGGAGGCTTGTACCCAGTGCCTCTCCTAACTGTGTACTCTGCCTGTAAGGTACGTTATTATAATTTTCAGTCTACATACTCAGCTGTGTAACAAGGCCCTTTTCTGTTCAAAGTATATTTCGCCTGTACGACAAGTGACCTACAATACTCAGTATCTCCGCAGCTGTAAAATTATGCCTCTCTCCTCTGTCCACTGTGTTCTCAGCCTGTTAGGCATGTGGTCTTTTATTATGAGTGCAATCTAATTAAAATTAGATGTTCCGAGTCCGCTACCCTTCTCAAACATCTAACAACATCCCATCAGGGGTCACGTCAGAGCGACCTTACCCAATGAAATCGCCGTCTCCGAAATCTTGGCTTATAGTTCGGACGCGTTTCTATTTTTATTGCCAAACCTAAACGCCAAAGGGGTTTCGTAGTAAACAAAATATGCATGGTAAAGACCATGCTATATATGAATGTGACGTGCGGGATATATAGTAGGTTTTGCATTTTCGTTTGCGTTATTCAGGTAAGAATGCCAGATTGGCGGACTATACGTTCAATTTATACCAAAATTACTTTAATTCAATGTAAGACAGTCTATTGAGCATCAATAATGTAAAGATGTAGCCGTGGAACTAATTTTAGAATCGTATACAGAAGGCTGAATCTGATTGGCCAAAATTTTTATGTTTATTCATAATCGGAAGGTCGCTCTGACGTGACCCCTAATGAGATGTTGTTAGATGTTTGAGGAGCCGTAGCGGATTCAGAACATCTAATTTTAATCAGATTGTTATGAGTGTGTTCTCTGCTGCAGGACTCAACTCCATATTTCTGCTCACTGTTGACCTACCTGTAATGTACGTGACCTTTTAATATCAGTGTGCTCTTAGTTCTGTAATTAAATCATTTTCTTCTACTGTGCACTCTCTCTGCAAGTTATATAAGCAATGATTATCAGTCTGTCCTAAACGGCGGGTCTGCATCCTTCCCTTCTGTTCACCGTGTACTCCACCTGTGATGTTCTGTATGAAATGTAAAGATACAACGAACAGTAATCAAGCTCAAAAGTCCATTGAAACACTACAAGTTGGAAGCAGACCTCTAAAAACAACAGATGTGGGATCATAAACCATGGAGGATTAAGCATCCTCTGAACGACCTGTCACACCTATTCCTTGCCATCTGTAGACAATTCAGTGTGAAGATAATGGCCTAACAATTTGTATGAAAAACGTTAGTCAACAGACTTAATGCGCAGCTATGTTAAGGCTGTCGGAAGGCTTAATATGCATTAAATATATACATTTTATATTGAGCTAGATTTTATTTTCAATATGTAATCCATGTATGAATTTGTAGTCAACTTGTGATGAGAGATTAATCAGCCATTATAATACGGCATTTTTGTGATGTCACATGACTGTTGATCACGTGGCGGACACTTATAAATTCCTAAATGTTGCACACAAATTGCATCGGCACAAGTGCAAAACAAAATTATTGTGAAAAGTTTTTTACATGAATCAATTCATCGTGATCTTTGGTACATCTAAAGGGCTGGGGGCAAGTCAAAATTTTCTTCTTAAGAAAATATTTCACGAGAAATTCTACTTACCAACATAGAAGGGGGCATTTTCCACTCTTTATCGCAATCTATACAAACTAGGATAAATTGCATACAATCCCTCAGCAAAATTCAGTTAGAGGACATACTTCTCTAGTAGATTCACACAGAATATCTTCAATTTATCCTTATTAATCACTTGTGCCAGTCAAATATATACACGATTCATAAATTCCAACTCCGTCTACGGACGTGTAAGGGGGAGATTTTCACATCCATTTTTATGTTATTGTGTGAATATGTGCATATCGGACAAGCGAAAAGGATAACGATATTAATTGCAAATCTTCAACATCATAAAAGCACAATGGAGCTTAAAAAAACAATCCAGACACTTGAATTAAACAACAACGTAAGAAAAATTCTACATGTCATGACAAGGAATGTAAAAGTTATGACACTATCCCCATCATGTAAGCTCAAGTGTGCAGTGACTTGACGTCAAATGCTATTACGACGTCATATCTAGGTAGTTCAGAGAAGATACTACAGTTGGAACAGTTTGATACTTTACGGACAGCCTTATCCTAGCCGCATGATAAATTCTATTTGCTAACAAGGTTATTGTATCGACCACAGAATTTGCGAAATGCTAATTTTAAAGGACATTGTTGATATCCTTGTATAATCAATTTATTCATTTTTTTCCTCGTTCTACAAATTGTCCTACTTAAAACATGCTCCTGCGTATCGAATAAACTGGGACACATATAGTCCATATGCAGGTGATAACGGTATATTGCTACATTAATAAGGGAAGTTAATGATAGAAAAGTTGAGATCGTCATATTTATGATTTTGTTTTATTAATTTGTTAAATTGTCATTCATGTCTTTTTCTATCAAAATATCCAAATATGAAACAGACGTGTAAGACCCTGTGGTGTCTTATTTCGAGTTCAAAGGGATACATCGATTTAACTTAGGAATGAATCTTTTATGAGAGAGCTAGGTTTTTCATTGAAATATTCTGAATGAAAGATTGGCCTTAGCAGTCAATCCAAACATTTAAGAGTTCTTCAAGTAACGTCTTGATAAATTTTGAAATCAAATGATTTTACAAAAAAGTATTATGTATCCCCTCTGAAATGTTTTAAGGGATATTGCATTTGATGTAAGTGTTGTTTAATTGAATGATTATAAATTTTTTACGACAAAAAATGAAAAATCACGATTACAAATATTATTTTTGCTAGTAAATAAACTTTGTAATGTACGATCTGAACCTCTGCTAACTTTACAACAAATTCACTTTTCAGGCTTATGAGATATTTTTCTCCCGGTGTATACAATCTGAATATGAATCGAAGGGAATTATTTGTCAGGTAGGCACATATTTTGTATGTTGTCCATCAACGCCAGAAGAAGCTAATCTAACAAATAATTTGTCAAATGTACAGATTTTATAAAAAAAAAAAAAATAATAAAATAAATATACTGAAAGGAAAAAGAAACGCAGACGCAGGGTAAACTTTTGAGGTGAAATAAGATTATATATTGCAGACTTATTTTCCAGTTATCCCATCTAACATTTAAAATCATCTTTGATAAAAATGTAACCAAAATCTCATTTGATTTTCCCCAATAATTCATGAGTTATGGAAACTCATATGACTGTACCCCCCAAAAGTGAAAAATGAAAATTCTCATTATCTCACATGTCTCCCTCGCGCATCTGTCACAGCCTTGATTCTCCAATGCATGCAGTTCATCAGTGTGTTTATCCTTCTAATAGGGATATTATTCAACCCTTCCGAGAAGGGAGCCCTTAGTTGATTTAGACCAGCTTGGACATTTAAAACCCTATCGTCCACGTAAGTAGTATGTGAGGACGTTTACCCCCCCCCCCCCCCCTAACAATGAGGGTCTTTTGTGTTGGAGAACAATAGGAGAACAATGGGGGAGAACAATGGGGGGAGAACAATGAAGTGACCCTGACCGAGATCTAGTTTACGATATGACCCTGACCGTATTGGTTACTGTGAATGAACACGGGTATTTAAATGATGATGAAATGGGATACAGGAGCACTTACACGAATGAATGAACACGGGTATTTAAATGCTACCGGAACCCGTGGACTCCGGAACCCGCGGACTCCGGAACTATTTTAGATGATAAGTAACATTCTTGGAGAAAAATTTAAGATATCAAAAGTATTTCTGAGGGGGAAAAAATTATGTGTGCTTTTTACAAAATGCATACTGTCCGGGTTTACAGAACGCAGATAGAACTTATATTTTTTTTAACTAACACCACCATATTGTGGTGGTGGTGGTGGTGGTAGTGGTGGTGGAGAATGTAATGACAAAAACAAAACACTATGATTTTTCAGGGTTCTCCACAAGGGGTTTTACCATGGCGGCCCGCCATGGTTAAATTTATGTGCGCCATGGTTAAACGAGCTGCGCCATGGTTAAAATAGGCGGCCGCCATGGTTAAATTTTTATTGCATTTTAGTATTTACACCTACTTTTTAATGACTTGCGTAGTTAATTGTGTTTAAACTACGACTGCCATGCATCTGGCATGCCTCGAGGGAAAGCGGACTGTGCAAACAAACACGGTCGCTGATCGGCGACTATGCTGGGAAGCGTGGCAATGGAGGGTCAATCAGCTGAAGATCAATATCTTGAGAATTAATTATCCTGTAGTATACAAACATGTACTTTCGGGAATTCCAACGTGTTCACTATTTGATAAAAGATCATAACGAGCAGTAGATATGCCCAGAAAAAAATGAGCCCTTTCAAAATTTCCTATTCTTTGTATTTAATCAATTCCTCGTGCTTTGTTTTCAAGTATTAACTTTTAAATTATTATCTTTCTGATAAAATGTACGTAAGTGCCAATCGTCGTCTCAGTTTTAGAGTTACCTCCCGTTTTTATGAAACTTCGCGTGGCGCTATTCTTAGCACGGGCACGTGCTAAGAATGGAGGAAACTCAGCGAAAATGCAATATGTAGAAAAAATAACGTTTAGAGAAAAACAGAATAGAGAAAGCAAAATTACACTAATGCAAATTAATGCCCCCGGTTATACTAAGTTACTTTTACCATGTATGCCACCAGTAAGTTTTCATAGATCATGCAGTTAAAAAAAGCTTAGGCATTAGTAGGATGTCGGCTTTCGTTTGTTTGTGTGTCTGTTAACTTTTTTTTAAAGTACTACCAATTCATCAGTTTTTGTCATATTTAAATAAAACTTTTTATATAACAGGCAACATCAATTCTGTATATCAGTTTTTGAAAACTGTTGTCATGGTTACTCTATCAAAACATTATTTTGAAATTCCTTCAAAATGTTCCTACAGTTTTGGACCAATTTTGGTACATTTGTAGAGTAATTTATAAATAAAGATACATAATCCTTTTTATTTTTAATTTTTTAGCTTAAAAAATTATTGGTTATTTCAACTTTTTTGTGCTGCAGTTGGTTAAGTTTTGTGAATTAACCAATTGATTAATGAAGGTTAGGAAGTCTAACATGCATTCGTGTTTTTGGTCGCATTGTGCCTTCGCACAGCTTCCTCCATGGTTAAATTTTCAAATGTGGAGAACCCTGATTTTTTTGTGATTTTATTCGGACTTAATTTCAATGTTCAACAATACAAAATAATATATAAAAATATCATTACAAAATAAACGTGTTTATTTATTTTCTTGAAATAGGTGATTAAACTTTACATGGTATTTGTCGAGAATACATGATATTGCATCTTCAAGAGGCACGTCATTTTCATTGATAAGAGAGTGAATTTCCTGACGAATACTCCTATGCAACGCACTTTTCATGAGGCAGGCAGACAGTTTTGATTGTTCTTTATAACTTTTCAAAAGTAAATCTCTGTCTTTTTCCAGCATCCGTTTCATGGTAGTTTCTCTGGCTTCTTCCGTTGGAATCCCTTTTTGGACTAATTTGGTAACTTAGTCTTGGAATAGAGGAATAATTGGTTTCAGACGGTGTTGATCATCATATCAAAGCCAACTGTATCGTCCTCATCATCTGTTTGATCACTAGTGTCAGTGTCTTCCTCTGAGTCTTCCTCACACTGTGACGACCCAAGTCGTAAGATGTAGCAAACACGAGACCACAATCAAGGCAAAGGGGCTGCAAAATGTTGTTCTCACTTTGCTTGAGTGTAACCTCGCTGAAATCGACAGGAGGCAATTTTTTCAAGAAGATATTGGTTTGTAATCGCTTGGATTCTGGTGTGGTTTGCTTTAAATCTACGACAAGGGATCCGTGAGGCGTTTCATCAACGGCTTTGTGATAGGCATCTAGCAATATGTTGGAATGTCCAGGATACATTTGACGAGCGAGGGTAGAGATCTGCAGTTTGTCTCGCGGATTCTTAAAGAGAACCAAATATTGGCTGTTCAGGTTCATCCTCCTATTTTCTTTTCCACTGTTGAATAGGTTCTGCATGATGCAAACTATGCTCATGTTTCTGTGGTGGGCGCCCTCCACGAATATTTCACATACATCTTTATTTGTAGTGGAATCTTTCATGAGATCGTCGATGATTAAAAGTGTATTTTCGTCGGGATTCTGAAAGTCGTCGCTGTCAAGGTCGGCCGGTAGTCCTTGGATGAACTCAAGGATAGGTATTTGTCTCTTGAGGTCGTCATACAAGGGCTGCCATCTTTTATACAGCCAAATGATTCGGTCAGGAGACGGTGAGATAAAATTCTGTCTTTGAAGTAAAAGCTCTTTCATCCATATTGACTTTCCCGACATCGTTGGACCCGCAATGACCATGGTAAATGGATGCTGAAATTTAAATTGGTTGTGACCGCCATCGACATGAATGCCTCGACGGTACGGATGTTGCCCTTTATGATCGGTTCTTTCGTGTCTTCTTAGGGCATCTGTGCGTGAAAAAGATTTATGGCAGATGTTGCAAGGTGTGGACGACATGGTGTTCTTCGTGCAAATGATGGCTTGTCCGATTTACCTCTATTTAATTATTACATTCGAACTCTCTTTCCAGGTGGTCCGTTACCATTGTCCTTGATCTCTCTCTTCAGCGGCATATGTGGTTTTCCTTCTTTGACGGTCTCTTTCAGCACAGAATTTGCTCTCTCTACTGCTGCCTCTGCCGGGGGAAATCGCTGGTACAGCTGTTTAAAAGTCTTGTCTATTTTGACTGTTTTAACCGTTTTGCGACCATGTCTTGGCTTTCGTTGGATGATGTGTACGTCTTTCGTCGCCCAGAATCTAGGGTCTGAGACATAAATTTTCTTATAGTAGTCTTTTTTTATCCATGATGTGAACTGGTAAACGTCGGAAACACGAATGAAGGACGCATCTAAACGAAGATCCTTTTAAGTAGAAGAATACGATTGATTACCTATGGCTGACAATCGAAAATTCAGAGTTAGTACCACCTCCCCGTTCAAAAAGATAGCAGGTTCATTGTCTTTATCCCTAATTTCTACGCGTATTTTTTCAAACTCTTGGATTCGCAGTGGCACTTGGAATGGTCTTATGAAGATTTGATTCTTGTTAGTCTCCAAAACGATACGTCTCAGTAACGGTCTGTACTGTTGGCTCACCACGAATGTGTCGCAGACGTCGCAGTATATAAAGAGGTCTTTCTTTATGGTTTTGGCAATGCCCTTGACATAGAATTCGCTTAGTTCTACAATCCATTGGTCCATAAACACCAACCATTTCGGTAATATAACCATAAATCGTATGGTTGGTTGCCGGGGAACACGTCTTTGCTTTCGGAAGATCTTAGAATGTATGTTGTTGCCATCCTCTGCAGTAATGAAAAGATTTGCGAGTACAGGGGTATTATATATGCTATGACCAAAAAAAAAAACCCCACAAATTAAAACCAGTCTGCGCAATTCGATAAAAAGTTTACGATTAATCATCTAAAATAGTTCCGGAGTCCGAGGGTTCCGGAGTCCTCCGTTTCCGGTAGCTTCGGTCTCCGGAGTCCACGGCCGGTTCCGGCCGGCGGCGGCGGCGGTGCGCGCGAGCAAATCTCAACATTTCTTTTTATGACAAAGTGTTAGAGTACTTGTTGCCCTTCTCTTGCTCTTCCTCCCAACTTTGAAATTTAAATACCCGTGTTCATTCATTCGTGTAAGTGCTCCTGTATCCCATTTCATCATCATTTAAATACCCGTGCTCATTCACAGTAACCAATACGGTCAGGGTCATATCGTAAACTAAATCTCGGTCAGGGTCACTTCATTGTTCTCCCCCATTGTTCTCCTATTGTTCTCCAACACAATAGACCCCATTGTTGGGGGGGGGGGGGTAAACGTCCGCATATACTACTCACGTAGTCCCACAGACGTTTGATGCGAAAAAGGTAAACTTGACGGAAACCAGTCAAGTGGATAAATGTGATAGTTTGCGAGAAAATCTTGACAAACCCTGGCAGCATTGGGAGGGGGTTAACATGCCCAAAAAATAGGCAAGCGACGCACGCATGCGCGAGTTAGAGGAACACTTACGTAAAGTTGACGAGTCACAAACCAAAATTGCGCTATCGATTTCCTTCAGTTTTGGGGTGAATGTAACGATTATGATAGTCTGCTGTATTAAAAGCAGTTTAAGGTTAATGTGATGGTGATTATACAGGTGGCAGGATGAAAAACCCGATCTTGACGTGGCGCTGTTACGCATCAACGTCATCGTCACGGTTGATTGGAAATCTTTCTACGCCCTCTCTGAGGACGGGTAAGACGTTCTATTGTGGAAAAATTCATAACAAACTGCACAGAAACCTGTCGTTGTTGTCCTTACTTAGGCAATACAATAGCCAGACCCCATGGTACTTCCGTCAACCGTACCTTGATTTCGAGAAATGCAAATCGACTGTAAATATCGAAAACGAAATGTATAATTTAAGTGCAGCAAATGGTACTGCGAGATGTGTTGAAAAACATGTCGTCATCGATATGCACGTGTTTTCGGCTTTAAATCACTTTCCTTATGTGACGTCATACATTTCACGGTTGAGTAGTTCTAAACACTGATTTTACTGCACAGTTACCAAGATATCCCCCAGACCAACTTTCATAATTTTCGGTTATACAGGCAAAAATTGTTTTCATATTATGTTACCCTTGTTTTCCTTTCAGTATATATTAATTTATATGTCAACCTCAAGATTTATATTTTTTCACTTATTAATTGAAAAGATCTGTGTTTCTAACTGAGTTTTAACTTCTGGTACTGGTAATTCACAGATTCATTCAATTCAAGACTTAACCTCAGTTTATATACATGTTCATGACATTTATTGAGGTTGTGGTAAACAATACCATCATTTTTTTTTTAAATTTAAGAGTGTCCAATGTTCATCTGTCGTGTTTTGTATTTTCATTATTTTAAAGAGAAAAGATAACTTTTTAAAACTTTTTTTTCAAAACTACAGGGGATGCCTTTGTACATGTTTTTACTTATTGACAGTATCAAACACAATACTTGAACACTCACCGAATTAGATAAATCTAATGCCAACTAAAAGCATTCTTTTTGTATCTGCTTATATTCTTGAATCTAGAATTTGTCCCAAAGTTAAAGTCTGGTTGTTTTAGAAGTAGCATTTCTTTGAATTCTATTATTTGAGAATAGAAACACAAAGATGAAATCTTGTTGTAGTATCCCATTCTTGTCCTCCGTTATACAATTAACTACACTAAAATATCTGTGTTGGTCCAGACCAACCTGCAAATACATTGACTGTACATATCTTTTCAGTGTGTAATGCCATATTTTGTTGTAACAAATATGTCCATGCCACTTCTTGTTGCAACAAAGAAGTCCAAGATCGTAAAACCTTCCTTATTTGAACCTAGTCCCACCACCTATGCGAAAGCTGCCCTGGATTCCTTTGGGGTATCAGATTTTACCAATGGCTACTGGGCACATAATGTTCAGGTTTGTATTGTGTCCGTAGAATGTCATCTTATATATCTCAGCACAATTACATGAAATTTTGTAAGGTTAATCATGAAACATCAAAACTTCGAGTCAGAATGCGCATTTAGCACTGAAGTGGTGAAACATTCAAAAATAAAATCAATTTGTTAGTTTACAGTGCAATAAAGTATAATTCTGAGTTTCAGTTTACAGCATATAGACATCTGAAACATACTTGAAAATAAGTCTGATTCGTGACCATAAGACGCGGTTTTATCTAAACATTCAGTAAAAAATATTTGAAATGTTTTCCAGTCTTATATGCGTTTTACAGGGTACCGCCATGGGCATGTTACCAGAAGGAATCGTAAAAAAGATGATGATGGGAATGGCGGAAAAAGGCAGAAAAGCAAATTTAGAAAATATGTCTAAGAAAAAGGAATAATGTTGATCAGCTGAACTCGGAAGCAAATATGTATTGCTTAGTTTTATGTGACAATATAAGAAAGCTTCATTCAGTCGTTAAAATCAATACCCAAAGACAGTATTTATTTAAAAGAATATACACGCATTGAGTATTCATAAATGAATAATTAATATACACTCAATAAGGTAAGGGTCACTTAGAGAGAAAAAGTTTTTTTTACATTTTGTAAATTTTTATGGAAAAATATTTAAAGTATTATTTTTTTTTATTTTAATCCCTCAACGTATTCCCTGTTAATGTTTAGAAATGACTTAAGGTCTCTTTACCCACGACTGCAATACCTCAGCATTCTCTTCTTTGTGGTAGCTCAAAAGACAGTGATGGATAGCACTCACAGGACTGATTTAACATAATTTCATTTTTGAATTAAACCCATTATTCTCTACTTTAAAAGTGGAATTATTATATAAACGTTAATTCCACTTTATAAAATTTGAACCAAAATTAAATTTTTCTTATGTTTGTATCGTAAATTTCCATTCAATAGTATCAAAAAATTTTTCAAAATCTAAAAATAGTAGTAGTTCATTCTCCTTACGTGTATGATTTTCACCATAATCAAATATATCTTGAATAACACAAACATAATTATTTAAATATTGGCATTTAACATATGCTTACTGGTCTTCATTTATTAATTTAGAAATAACACTTTGTAATCTTCTAACCAAAAACATACAAGGATTTTATAATCACAGTTAGATGGGCCTATTGGTCTGTAGTTTTTTAATTATATCCCCCCCCCCCCCTGAATATATCAGACTAATAACAGCTAATTTTTGAGATGATGGTGTATCACCACATTTAAAAGATTTTAAAAGTGAATCATAAATGTACTTCAAAATATATTTTGTAAAATTCCGGGTGACTTGTTATCCATGATTTTAATTGCCTCTTCACACTCTCTGAGAGTAGTTTTTGCCTCAGATATTCTTTGTTTTTCAGTATTAAGGAAGCTCTAAGCTCTTCTCACTGAAACTCTCATTATACGGTAGTTTTGTGTAGTGAGGATAATCTGCCCTTTAATATGTTAAGTGGAATAAATGATTAACTTCAGTAAATGACACAATTTGAAATTCAATAAAATATTCTGAACGTTATATAATACTAGAATAAAGTAACTGAAAACATTACTTGCATGCATTTTCCAAACAAGGTAAATAACAGTGAAAATCTGTTCTGCAATATTTTGATGTCTTTGAAAATGTTTCCTCGAGAAATGTGGCTGGTAGCCTATGTTGAAAATAGACTAAATAAAAGCAGTATGCACACCTTTATATAATACAAATGTTCTCAGAGTCCAAAAAACATTTTTCTTTAGTGTTTAGAGCTTCCTTAATTTTGTTTTATTTTCAGTACTTTTTAGATTATTTCTTATGTCTTCAGTTTTGGGGTCTTGTGACGTATATTTTCAATTTTTCGTAGAAATTACATAATTATCCAAAAATATCACTACTAAAGAAAGTTTGATCTTGATCATGTTTTTTCTATAACATTGTTTTGTTGATGTTTATTTTGTAGTTTTAAGAAACAAGAGGAGCATTTTCCTCCACACTTTATCCAGTTTGCTCTACATCTGATGTATGCTCCTTCAGATTTTGTATCAAATATTTCTTGTAATTCTCTTCCTAACTTATATTTTTCTTGATTATTAATCTCATTAAAAGGTCTATTTTCAATATCTGTAATTCTTTTTTTTTATTGCTCTTTGTTTTGTTCTCTTATTTTTACCTTTAGAGTAGGTTATAGTGTACCCACTAATAATAAGATTAACCAATTCGCACCGTTCTTGTGAACATTTAGCATCTCTAAGCTCAACTTCTTTATTTTTTGAAATGTCTTTTAGTTGCTTACATTTATTAAATATGAAGTATGCTTATTTGGAACATCGTAAGGTACAAGAAAATCACCCTGGGTATCGATATTTTGACCTTCCTTACAGAAAACCTGCTTCACTTTCCTCATTACAATTTTAGCATGAAAGCTATCATCGATGGTCCTTCCTTTGGATCTACATGCATGTATTTCTGGACCTCTCGAGTAAACAAGAAAACCTGTATAAACAAGACCTCTTTGGAGTTCTGGCTTCTATTTGCAATAATAGGACGACAGTACCCCTCTAATCCTTAATTTTATTATTTATCTTCCTTTTGGGCTATAAAAAGTATATTCATGTTTCTTTATCCGTCAACCAAATTTAACACACCTTCTTCTGTTAAAATGTTTATTTTTTTTATAGACACTTAGCACATTTAACTCGTGTTTTCTTTTAGTCATCTGGACGGAAATAAGGCAACCATTTGAAAAAATATTTTAAGATAATTTTTGTTTGGCCAGAACTCTAATCTGTCGTGGTGAAAAAATGTTTAGTGTCTATGCAATGTCTTTGACCGCAAATACATGTATCATTTTTTTTAGATATCATATTGCGCATTACTTTATTTTATTTAATATCCGAATATGAATATATTTGCTTCATAAATGTTGCCAGTTATTGAACAATATTTACATTTGTTGTCATTTATTAAACCAGCTTTGAAATTGATTTGAATGCCATTTCCGTGAATATTCACGCGTAAAAATATATATGGAGATAATTGTGCTTAAGTGACGTCTCAGGCCTACTTCAATTGGGAAACCCGGGTTAACTCGAGTTAATTTAGATATACGTCATGCAAATGCGCAAACAAATTTGCAATATAATGAGTTAATTTCACACCACCTGTTGTTACGAATGTAAACAATATTGAAGTAAAAAAGCTGGGATGATTAGGTAATTTTGGTTAAAAGTTATTTATCATGCCTATTAAAGGTTGTTCAAGTATAAGTGTATGTTAAATACTAAACAGTGGGTTTTATATATATCTCTTCCAGCTCTGATATTTTAGGGTAAACTATATGGCGACGTCAAGTTCAATTGCAGCATGTTCTTGCGTACTGGGTATTTTTCTAGAGGATAATATGGAAGAATGCGATTGTTTCGATACAATGATTGATTTAATAATTCATTTACTTACAATGCCACGGAAACACATCCCCCGTATTCAGGACTTTGTCGAGGAAAGTGTGTCAATGTATTCCACTGGTGATTTTAGAGCACATTTTCAATTCAGTTTAAGGTTAAAAGTAAAAATGGAGCGCTAGTTCCACCACGTATGCACATCAATGCAGACTCTGCCTACCCCTTAAAGCAACGGTTTATGACACCGTAGCAAGACAATGGGAATCTGCGTAATAAGCAAAAACGTTTCAATTCTGCTCTCTCATCTTGCCTGTTGAAAGGGAAATTGGCCACCTAAAAGGCAGATTTAGAAGATTGAGGGAAAATTGCTTTCATGACCCCAAAGTAACATGTTCCTACATAATTAATGCATCATACATGATGAAGACATTGAGGAATTTGTTAATGTGCAACAAAATCAACATGCAAAACAATTTCAACAACATATTTTCAAATGCTCATGGCGGTGTGCAAAAACGACAGCAACTTAATAACATGTTGCGATAGAGCCCTAATTCCTGCATTCTTTACACGAATCTTGAAGTTCATGAATGAGTAAGCACTCAAGGAAAGAAAATTCCTCTGATGGTGACAAGTTTCATGTGGATGAGATATTTATTTGTAATAAGCTCATTTTCATTTTATTTTGAAATAAAACGGAGTATTTTAATTAAAAAAAAAAGTTGTCAAATTAACTTTTTTGACTTTTTCAAACCTAAGATTTTTTATTGCATAAATAACCTCTGTCCATTTCAAAGAGATTTTTTTTTTCAGTAAATATTACCACTTGCATTAAAAACATTTTTTTCAGTATAGATTATTTATGTACGGTGCATGTGAGACATTGTTCTCATTCACACATTTGTCAATGAATACAATGAAATATATGGAGATAACGAACAGTATTCAAGCTCATAAGTCCATTAAACGATACAAATTTTGGAGCAGAACAAACATAGACCTCCAAAACATCAGAGATGGGATCGGGTGCAATGGAGGAGTGAGCATCCCCTGCTGACCGGTCACACCACCCGAGATTTTTTTTTCAGTATATATTACTACTTGCAGTAAAAACATTTTTTTTCAGTACAAATTATTTATTTATGTACGGTTCCTGTGAGACATTGTTCTCATGCACACATTTGTCAATGAATAGAATGCAATATATGGAGATAACGAACAGTATTCAAGCTCATAGTATGCAATAAACCAACATAAAATTTTTCTGATGTTTAAAATATTGAAGTTTATCTTCTTCCTTATTAAAACGGGTTTTTGAAAAAGGATGGTTGTCAACAGTTGACCTTTAAAATTGCTAATTTTACTTCATAAAATTGTAATTTTGACGCAGCAAAAGGGTTCGATATTGGCACTCACAACCTTGTCATTTCCATCCAGACTTTATCAAGTGCATTATTTGTAAATTACTAATTTCTTACCTGCTCAGTGATCCCATTTTTGTAGTTTAAAATTTTTAAAAAGTTTAAAATATTTCATGATATATTGGAAATTTCGAATTTAAACCATTCAAATATATTTTTAAAACATCTTGAAAACTTGGAAATAAGACGCAAACTTTTCGAACAGCCCTCGTATACTGGAGTTTATTTAAATAGAGTATTACAATTAATAGACAACACATATCAGTTTAACCGTTTATTTAAGGTAACAGAAAAAATAATATCAATATAACAACTGACATAGACGTAGATAATTCTCTTGATATAATAATACTTTCAAAAGAACCCTGAATTTTTATCATTAAAAAGGTTAGTTTTTAAGTATGTAAATATCACATGTCATACTTTGACTAGAAAAAAATATCAGTTGTGTGAATATAGGCCACATCGCTCACCTAAGTCACTATGGCCCTGCTGTTCTTTCTCAGTAGATTTTTTTTTCAAATATAACTTTGATCACATATTTTGGACCCACCCTAGCTACATGTACCCCTGGAGGTTATTATTTGAACAAACTTGAATCCACACAAACTGATGATGCTTCCATATAATTGTGGGTAATCATGGCATTTTTCATTGACTGTTTATTAAGATCTGTAAAAACCTCTCAAATTTTGCAATTTCTTGTTCATGAAGTCATCTGATTTGTTTGTCGATTCTCTTATCATATCTATGATCTTTATTCGAGGAGATTTTGATACTTTGGGTTTGGTTTTTGAGTTTCTTTGAGGGAGGCTTTTTGGACTCTTCTGGTCTTCTTTACAACCTTCGTCATCATTTTGATTCACATTATCTGTGTCAATCAAACAGTTTGGTTTAGAAGATTTTTTTTTTTCCATACAATTGACAAAATGTTTCATAGTGCTTGCAGGCTTATTTGTCATTTCCGGTTTTATTGTTATGGTCTGCAACTGCTTTGAATTTCTTCTTAGGGTCCTTTCATTTATCTTGTGCTTGTTTTGCACTAACACTGACATTACTTTCTATCAATTTCTCTGTCGATTTCTGCCATAGTGTCGTATTGCTTTTGGAAGAGGTAAATTCCTCTTCCATGTTTGCCCTTACTTCATCCAAACACTTCTCTTCTTTGTCTGTAGTGGGATTCGGACTCTTTCCAAGAAACTTTCCTTTCATCTCTTCACTTTGCACAGACTTTATTTCCACTGCTTTGTTTTTCATATCCTTTCCTTTGCTCACTTCCTTTGTGAAAGACTTTTCTTTTGCCTTGTTGCATTCGATCTCTTTTGTTACGATATTTATACTGAGGGATCTAAAAAATATTACAACTAAAAAAAAAATATTGTTACATGCACACGTGTTTAACATTTTACAATAATGAATTTTTAAAAATTAAAACATTGATTAATTTTTCTTTAGTTCAAATTTATAATTGTAAAACATTAAACATCTGTGTAACAGGTACTTTTCTTCCATATTATGATTTTCCCACTTTAGATTACCATATTGGCCTGAGTGACTATGATCAATGGGCTTCAAAGGATAGAGATATTTTTCCTTTAAATTTAATTGCAGTAAGGATTTTAAAATTTACAAGTTATCATCTACAATTCCAAAACGTAAATGAAAGTGCAACAGTGTTAAACATTTTTCAGTATACAAGGGTGTTTGTTCTACTTCATGGATTTATCTCTAAAGGAGTAATGTAGATTTCTGCCACTTGTTCTGAAAAATAAAATATAATGTGACTAGTTACAAAAAGTAGCGCACTTAAAATTTTCAAACCTATATATACATTATAACTTGCATGGTTATCAATAAAATATAGTAAGAAGGTTTTTGGCAAAAAATATAAATTCATTGTACAACCGCTCACAAGATCAGTAAACCTACCAGAGGAACTTAGCATTTCTACAATCCCTGGAGTTACTTACACTCAATAATTTTCTCCTCCCCTCTTTTCATCTTATGATAAATGAAATTGAGGAAAAAAATGGTACTTTAATATGGCTGTTTACCGTGAACAATGTCGACAATCTGTACATTTCAACACACATTTACACATTGTATTTTGTTGATTAAATATTACGCCAATTTGGGCCTTTTAAATTTGTTATAAATCATTTCATATCCATAATCATAATATATTAGAAATAAATGTATTACACAATTCAAAGGTTTTATTTGTATTTCAACAGATACATGTATCTCCACTAGAACTACAGAATTTTGCATTGCGCTGGTAATGCACACTTACAGTATAACGAAA